AATCATAATATATAAGAACAACACATTCTCTCGAGTTCAAGGAAACATGTAATGGACCTAACATTGGAACAAAATTTGTATCCAATCAATATCATTTATATTTAATTAATTATTTAAATATAATGTAATAGCCTTTCTAATAAAAAGCTGTCCTGGATAGTCTGCTATTATAGGTATTGCATTTTTTTTTTATATATTCTAATAACCTTTTTATGCTAGCTATCATTTTTATTGCTGACAAATAATCTTCCAAGGAATGAAGGCTTTGCTGCTTCGTGTTAATTATTTTCACTGATTCCATAGATCTTTCTTCTTTCTTTTCTTCAATATTTTCATTATACATATGGATTGTTAAAAGCCCAATACAATCAAATTTTTTACCATCAATCATTTTATCTTTAACCCATTGTATCTTCACATTATTATAACTTTTATCAAAAATTCCTCTATAATCATTAATAAGTTTTGAATTAATTAATGAATATTCAATATTATCTGGATTAAAAATAGGTACATTTTCAAAATTTGCAGGAACCACAGGAATATTTTCAATTTTTTTGACAACACATGTTGCCATATGTATTGCTGAAGATAACGATGTGGAATCAGGTCTTCTCCACTCATGAATTGAATGGTAATCATCAATATTAAAACAATGCATATATTGAATGTTGTAAAAAAAATACTCTTCTATTATTTTTTGATGATTTTCAGCAACTTTCTTTTTGTAAGTTTGGATTGTTTTATAACAAGCTGAGATATTTGCATTTGATAAGGTGTCAAGTGCAGCAGCACTAGTTCCATTTGCTTCTAAATAGAGTCCAAGGTCTAATTTAAAATTATTTACAAATTTATTTCTTATGCCAGCTAAAAGATAACAAAAGCCAACAATAGATTTTTTGGCAGACTCCTTATTTGAATGTGTGCGTCTTTCAGGAATTATTTTTTCTAATTCATCAAAAAATCCTTTCAATTTTGGTTCTTTTTCTTCAATTAATTTACAAAAGTTTATAGGGTCCAATTCCATTGTCTCATTTGATCCACATTGTTGTTTGAGAAGTACATTTATTAATAGTTCAATTTTATCTGAAAATGTCAATTTACTTTTTTCTAAGTTATTCTGGACTGTTAAAAAGACATTATTTGCATCAAACATGTTTTCAATTTCTTTATTTTTTTCTTCAATTTTCATTTCCAAATTTTCAATTTTTTGCATTAATAAACCAAAATCTTCTCTGGATAAAAGAACTCCATTTTCTGTGACATTAATCTTGATATTATTTGAAGAATTTTCATTGACATTCAATTGCTTACGTTTATAATATGCTACATACTTCATGTAGTGATTAGCACAAAGTTGTTCATTTAATCTTAAATAATTTATGCTTTCATAGTCTTGGTGTTCTCTTATCTTTTTAAATGCATTGTCTGTTATAGTTCTGAAGTTAACATCTTCAGGATTTTTATCATTATTATCACAATTCTTGACTGCACAAGGACCAGAGTTTTTATTTCCACACATCATTGTAGAATTTAATCAGCAAATGTTTTGAAGGATTAAAATTTTATTTTTATTAAGTAGTATAAAATATATAGTATAGTGATATTGAATAATCAATGGTTAATAGTCAATGGTTAATAGTTAATAGTAAACGGTTATAATAATAGTTAATAGTTAATAAGTCAATAGATTTTATTTTTAATTAAATTTTTATAGGATTTCTTTCTTATTTATAATTTTTTTAATACCGAAGTTGATAAATAAATAGACTTGAGAGTCAAATTAGAATTAAAAATAGTTCTTCCTTTTGGATATTATTATTATTATTAAAGAGCGAAACACGTAAAATTTTCGGTTTAGAGATCGGCTGAAATTTCTATTTTTAGAAGCGATCACACACCCGTTTTTGTCACATTTCACAACCAATCAAATCAAACTTCCACCATGCTGTAACATCTAAAATTTGTTATATTAATATTATAACTATGCCAAGAGCAAAGAATATAGGACCATGTACAATAACCAGTTGTGAAGGAACTAATAGATT